TTTAGCTTCCACAAAACATCGATAACATTAACAGATATAACTCGGTGAGATGAAGTTCATGTTCGCTTGAAGTAGTTGGAGCGTATCGAGTGCCTTTTGCCAAAACGACGTCTCACCTCATCAGATCATACATCAGGTTCTATTCCAACCGTGCTATTGTCATCAGAACAACCTCCTTGATGTAAATATCACGGGAAGTGGACTAAGAACGACTTCCATAGTTCTGGTTGGTGTGGTTTTTATGGCTCCTGTTATGTTGAGACATGCTGTTATTTTAATTTGTTCTATTTTGCAGATAGCTGTCAATTTTTGGATTTTCGATACCCAGACAACTGCACTGTATGTTAGCACAGGTCGTATGATGGCCATGTAAGTTCATGTGACGACTCTAGGGAAGAAACCGCAGGTGCGCCCCACGGTTCGGCGGCATTGTTCATAAGTAATGTGTGCTCCTCTGACTCTGCTTTCTAAGTGTGAGTTCCATGTTAACTTGTTGTCAAAGGTGGTACCTAGATACTTCACCTCTGTTGCAAAGTTTTGTTTTGTGTTTAGGAGCTCTGTAGGTTTGAATTCCATTTTCATCCTTTTCTTTGTAAAAAGGATTATTTATGTCTTCTTGGGGTTGATAGACAGTGAATAGTCCTTGCACCACTGTTCCATATAATTGTTCTCGAAATTCCCTATTTGCAGAATGGCCGTCATCAACTATCGTTATTGTGTAGTGACGGTCACCTACAGTACTTATTTCGTTATTAAAATAATATATTTGACATAATGAACATAGTAAGAATTTTCTGTCATTGTTACTTTAGTATGTGTTTAATTCTTATGAACCAAACGACAAAAACTGATTAATTTTTATACGTTTCCCAGTGTATTAAGTTCCCTTGCTTTGGTACACACAAAAACTCATTCAGTTTCGCTTCTTGGGTAGGTATTCTTTGCTAATACCATTCACCATTTAATTAAACCCAAAGAAAAATAGCAGAGGTAGGCAATTATTTTCAATACTTTATTTTATTTTGCTAACAAAGAATAAAATCAATATTGGACCCATTTTGTCCTTATTAGGACTTCAAGAAGTAGAACATTTTCGATTCCAATCTCTAATGGACTTTGTAGATGTAAAAACTGCTTTCTATATTTTTATGTCGATTAAGTAAAATTAAAAAGTCAAAATATAGCGCCATCTAGGTACACTTAGTAGCCAAAATCAAGACACGTTTCTAATATTCATTTCAAAAACTAAGATGGAATAAAAGCCTGGCGGACAATTTTTAAGAAATGAACAATAAATTAATTTCAAACTCAAATGTAAACAAAATGTTTCAATTCATTCATTTTCGTTTTTATTAACAAGTTTTGCTGAGAAAAAATATTGCGAAAAGTTATTAAATTGTTACAATGCAACTGTGACTTCAAAAGATAGATTTAGCTTTGACCTCACATACGTGTTTCTTGTCACCATACAGTACTGGCAATAGCAAACCTTTGGGCCTCTATGCGTCTTACAGAGAATATTAAATGTCGTTTGCATGTGCTAAAGAGTAAACGATCTCGTATTGAAATTGCCAGTTATTAGTTGGTAGACTTAACCTGTGGTTGGCAACATTCATACTATGTTTTGTCTTTTCTTGCATCTGTGAACGTCAGTTACTATTCATTATTACACAAAATAGGTCTAAAACTTTGATCTTGCCAGAGGCATTCTCAAATCCCTCACAATATTTCACATATGTGTTGAAGGGGTCGAAAAAAAGAATACCATTTTTCTCATTAGTCTATAAAAGCAGAAAAATATTTTTTGTCGAAGCTATTTCACTGTTTAAAAATAAATCTCACAACAACGCATGAATGAATAATGAAGTTTATGAATATACAGTTACCGTATCTGAGTCTGTAAGTTGGGGAGGATGGTTTATCCTAAACAAGTAGTCTTCACCAGGTTCTTTATCTATCTTATTGAATGTGCCTTTTAACTTGCCAAAATCCTGTTTTATGTCTTCGAGATGAACTATTTTTCCAGTTCATCAAATTTCTCTAAGTCATCAGCGCAAATCTACTTCAAGTCTACATTTCTCCAGTGATACTGATATTTTCAAATAGTGCTAATTGATTGATAGTTGGTTTTGCTTCACTTATATCTCAGTCAAAAAGCATATTGTATAAGATTTTTTTTCTGCAAATATATATGTCCGGAGCATTAGGTATGAATCAGATGTAAAACCTATCCATATTAGTTTGCAACAAATCACAGTCTCCATAGTTTTTTATTGATTTGAATATTTTAAAATCGTCAACAAATATTTTACCTACATCTTTAATGAATAAATTATATAAAATTTGTCTACAGTGGAAACCCGTGATACTCTAGAAGGAACATTTAATGCGTTTGATACAAAATTATTATGTTTGATACACTGCAATCTGTTCGATATGAAACATTTGATTCTATTCAATATTTTTCTGTTCATCCCAAGAGACTCAAGTTTATTGTAACGTATGGAAGGGTGGGTTTTCTTACAGCACTTATGCCTTACTAGGCCCTTTTGTGCATCTCTCTAAATTTATAGAGCCTTCTTAGCTCTTTAGCCAACTAGCTAGATTGTGATTGACTTTGTCAGCTTCTTCGTTTCCTTCTATTCCTTGATGAGAGGGTACCCATAGGAATCTGACATCGAAGTTATTGTTTTGTAGTTGCTGTAGTTGGATCTTAATTTGTAGTGCAATAGGGTTGTTGGTATAGATGTTTTTTAGTGTATTTAGTAGATTTGATGCTTGTATTTCATTCAAAGCTTGTAAGATGGCAAATATTTCTCCTGTGTATACAAAGCTTAAGACAGGTAATCTGTATCTTAAAGGTGGTTTGTGAGAAGTGATAACAGCAGCTCCAACTCCATTTGGGGTTTTATAAGCATCAGTGTATATTTTGTGAAAGTTACATAGAGAGTTTTGAGTGAAAGTTTTGGTAAATTAGAGGTGTTGGTGTTTCTGATTTATTAAAAATTGTTAGACTTGTATCGATGATCGAAGCTTCGGTCAGTCATGGTGGTGGTATATCAATATTTGATTGAAAAATGGTAGGTAGCTGTATATCTAGTTGTATGAGATATTGAGAAACTCTTTTCCTCGATTCGTAGGTGTTTTGATATCTATTTGCGACTGTATTATTGTAGTTTGGATGTTGTTGATTGTTAATTATAGTACTCGCATACGATAATGTTAGATATTGTCTTCTTTTAGCAAGTGATGCCTCTCCGAGTTCTACTTGTAAGTTTTCGATGGGGGATGTTCTATAAGCTCCACAAATTATTCGTAATGCTTGATTGGCTATGGTATCTAAATACTTCAATACATGTTTTTTAGTGGAGGCGTAGCCGATGGATCCATAATCGATCTACGATCTAATAAGGTGTCTGTAGCATTGGAGTAAAGTCTCTTGATCAGAACCCCATTCTCTGTTTGCAAGGACTTTTAATAGATTTAATCCATTCTGACATCTACCAATGAGCTCTTTAATATGTTCTTGCCAATTTAATTGCGTGTCGAAAATCATTCCCAGGAATTTGATTTTAGATGCATAATCGAGAGGACTACCATTAAGTTCAAGAATTGGTTTCTGATCTATTTTTCTTTTAGAGAACATTACACATTTCGTTTTGTCTGCAGAGAAATGGAAACCGGAGTCACTGGACCATTTTTCTAGTATATTTATGTGTGCTTGTAATATTGATTGCATTGTTGGTAGATTTTTACTTTTTATATATATGACCAGATCATCTGAATACAGTCTAACTTTTATTGCTGTTTCTAAAGACATGTATAATGTAATTTTTAAAACCCAGAAGACTCTTAAAGTTGGTTTGTCTAATAAGAAACCGTGTTGTTCTTGAACAATTACATGTTTTGCTGACCTGGCTAATTGTACAGAAATTAATAACATTTTAAATTGAATTAAAACTCCTTGGTTATGTAATATATTTTTTCTATCTCCGAACTTATAAATAAGAGTTATAAAACTATTTTTTCATTTTCATTTCAAAATAACGAAATTTTTAAAGATCATTCTACAACAGATGTGTGAAGCACAAACACAAGTTTTCAAGAACAATGCAGGTATACCATCAGGTCCAATTGATACTTTAAACTTTAGTTAAGATTTACCGTTAAAAACATTTTACTTAGAAATGGAATGAAAATAATCAATTAAGAAAGTTCTTTCTTGTAGCAGGATTGCGCCAAAAAATCACTGTTCTTCTTTTACATTTTGGAACCGGTCGGGCAGCTTGAAGCATGGCTTCCACAGCTTCTTAAATTACGAATTTGTCGGTAATCAGATTTAATATCAGTCCCAGTTTGTTCTGAAAGTAAGATGTTTTACCATTATTTTATCGTCCAATTTTGATGCTACAAACACCAAATTTATTGATCGTCTTTGCTTTGTCTGCTTAGCTATGAAACTCTTATTTATCTCTTGCTAAACAATTATCTGACACGAAGTCGTTTTCTAATCGTTTTCACTGATATACTTATTCCTGTCGTAATAAAAGTTGTAATTACAGTTCGGGATGAGTTAATATCGGATTTTTTTCTAGAAATCAGTCTTGCTGCTTGGTAGTAATTCTTTGGCTATATCCTCTATGTTCTTTTTTTAGCTTTTTCGAATTCTATGAATTTTGAATAAGTTTTTGAAACCACCCCTTGTGAAACAACCACTGTACGGCCAACAGCTCTTTGGGACATATCTTCTTCTACTAAAGCAATTAGTCTTTTCTTCAGTGCATCTGTTAATCTCAAAAAAATTATCTTTGTTTCAATGTTTTTTTTTTAATATTACAGTAACCGAAATCTGCGATGTTACTTGTACAATTAACAAATCAAAACTAGGGCAAATAATGATATCTTTTTAGGAATCAATCAATTTTTGTTAGTAATAACAACATTATATTTAAGATAATCATAACATAGACTATTGTTATAATTTTGTAATTATTTTTCAGTTGTAATCTATCGTTGTCGTAAAATGGCGGACAGTTGTGGAAATTGTTTAGCACTAGCTAAAAAATATAACTGTGGTTGGTGTCAAAGTTCTGATCGATGCGAAGTCAAAGACCAGTGTGAAAATAGATCAGACGTTTGGTTAAATTGGAGTCAATCTTGTCCAAATCCTGAAGACACTTCCTTTAGTCTAGAGTCAAACAATTTAAACATCAACGTAAGTATTTTGCTATCTAAATTTGATTTAACAAACATTTATAGTATTAGATTCTCAATCATACAATATATCAGTTCTTATTTTAATTTAATCCTCGTTAGGTGGTCGAAAAAGATACTTTTCTGGTATGTTTACTTTTTTCTTTATTTGATTTGTGCTGTAATATTGATGATCAACAGGCTCTTTGGAATTTATTTTCCGCCATTTCTGCATTTTTTATCTTGTAATTTACCTTCCAGCATTCTCAAGTTATTATTGGCCCAATGGAAGTTCTTTACAGGAAATTTTGTTATATTGTTAATATACACTAATGGGGAATGTCTACTCTTTGATGTCTATTAAGTTCCTTTGTGTTCTTCTTGCACTGTTAACTAGCATTGAAGATTTACCGAAGCTGTACAGATCTTCATTAATTTGTCTCTTTCGCAGGTCTTCACCGATTTATTTACTCCGTTCTATTCTTTTGAGGTTTTGTAAGCTACCCAGGCAGCACACTTTGGTATAAATTACGTATTTTTTTAGGTACTACCATACGTATGAATACGGTTGATGTACTACCAAATATATTCGTGAAAATGTCCGCCTTATAAACGTCGATTACTAAGAATTTATCCACCTATAATTAAACGTTTTTACTATACGTCTATATTAGATTTATAGTTGTAGTATATTTATACGAATTCACTTTGGTATAAAATACGTTTTTTTATGTACTACAATATACGTATGGATACTGTTGATATGCTACCCAATATATACATGAAAATGTCCGCCCTATAAACGTATATTTTTTTTATTTTTTATACGTCTAACATTACTACTTTATCTACCTTTAATTATCCTGTTTTACTATACGTTTATATTAGATATATTTGTATGATTTATATTAATGTGTAAAATGCGTCTACCTGATGTTTTAAATGTATTTCAAACACAAATTAAATAAAGTGATCAAAAAAAAAATTCTAAAAGAGGCCATGGAAAAATGTTAATATATCTTAAATGATAGTTTGGATTTTATCCATAGCAGGTGTGTATACACCAGAAATAGGCATTACTCGTGTTTCTATTTTGGATGTAATTGGTCTAAATATTTAGAAAAATTTTTGGACACTTGTTATATGTACAGAACAATATTTAATTAAAAAACTAAACAATAAAATACTAAAAAATAAATAAATACAAAAAATACTGAATAACAAACTAAACGAAACTTTTCTTTAACTAACAAAAAATATATATGAAAATAAAAATCTTAGCTCAACACTTTGGATGTGTTGTGTCCTAGAGACGGGCCTTAGCTAACTTAAGCTAATCTTGCATGGCACACCTAATCGTTCGGTCAGTTAGGTCGCTTGGTTCACCCCCATTCCTATAATCAAAATGTAACTTGATTTCAGGTGAATTATTTTCTAAAAGCTCCGAAGTTGTATTATTTTCTTGGAAATTATTATAAATAATAGAATCAGATGATCTATTAATCTCCGAAGCCTTATTAATGTTATCTTCATTGGAAATAAAAAAAAAATTATTTGATTTTAAAGCATCTTGAACATTTTGCGCTACTTTTCTACGTAGATGACGCAGAGACAGGGTTATTTTAGACATTTTATTAAATAAAAAACAACTGACCAAAAAAAAGGAAAATAAGTATGCTTGGAATAACTAGGTAACCTAAAAAATACGTATAAAAATAAAAGAAACAAAAGTAAGGTTAAATTTTGAAGTTTCTATAAGCATTTAACACACTGTACGTACCTATAAAACAGTAGTTGTTGTAAAATGCAACAATTATTAAAGGAGTAGCTAAATTAAAACATTAATAGAAACTTACCTATGCTTTTAATCAATATTGTAAAAGCCAGGACGCCAAAGAAACATGCAACAAAACGTGTACACAAATGAAAATGGACAAACCGATGAACCTGCTCCCACAAACCATTCCCTACACTGAACAATAATACTACACATACGCATGAGTAGAAATGAGAAAAGACCGTACCACTAGTACGTCATCCTCCATTCGCCATCTAAAAATAGTTCCATGTGTATGGGGAATTTGTTATAAATATTACAGGTAATATAATTAAAAAAATATGGATGTAATGTAAATACATTTTAATTTAAATAAACCTAAATATATACATATTATTTACTTCTGTCTACTAGTTCATCGTAAACTGGTATTATGCGTTTAAGGTGACTTATATTTAAAAGTAGAATAATATAGGTACATTAACTAGTATCGACAAACAGAAGCGTTTAATTTATCTGTTAAAAAACGTTAAGTATAAAAATGGTAGATGGTAAACGTTTAAAAAATCAACCAAGACGAAATTTAAACGGGAATTATAAAAGAAGAAAACATATTGTAATATAATGTAAATTTATACGAATTTAATTTAAATAAACCTAAACGTATATTTGGGCCCACTGTATATAAATAGTTCATCGCAAACTAAAAATATTCGTATATTGTTAAGTATATTTAAACGTAGAAAAATTTACAATTATATACCATAGGATGTATATAAAAAACGTATAATATATCGTTTAAATAATAATCGTAAACTGTAAACGTATACGGAATCAACCAATACCAAAATTAAACGAGTATTACGTATAAAATACGTTAGTTATACTAATGTGTGCTGCCTGGGTAATTATTTTATAGTATTTTAGATTTTTGGAACAGGCTCGTTAAAACGTTTATAAAAGCATGTGCCCTTTAAAATATTCACAGTTAATTACCGAAAGTGTCTGGATACCCTAAATAGCTTTAATAAAAAAATACAAAATCTAACAGATCTATTTAAAAGAAATTAACATGCCTAAAATAAAAAATATTACTTGACAATTTTTGTGATAATCGACTAATAATTCATATCTGATTTGGTTTTAGTTGAATCTGGTAAATGATAATTTATCAATAAAAAACACTACAAAAAATGATTCTGGAGTAAATTGCACAACACCAAGTATTGATTCCTTGCCATCTATACCACCAGTACAAAGTAAGTAATATTTTATTTTAGCTGTCTATTTTATCAATATTTTTTTATTATTTGCATATTTCTATTTATATTTTTATTATTATTTTGATACTAATTTATATATTATCTATTTTACAATTTATAATTTTTTAAGATTTTTTTAATATTTTACAAAAAATGTTTTAATTCATTTTTGTTCTTTCTTGGACTTTATATGGACATATTCCCAAATCCTTTTAATGTTTTATCTACCAGCTTTAATTATGTATTATGTATATGTACCTACTTGTGATTACAGCACCCCCTTATAATTTTCGGACAAGGATATCTCAAAAAGTAATTTTTTTTGAAAATTTAAATTTGGACAAAATAAATAAGGCAATAATATCTAAAATATGCATATTTTTTAAAGTTTTAATTCCTTCCAGTTTCCGAGAAAAAAAATCAAAGGGCTTTAAATTTTGAAATATCATAATGAAAATAAATGCATTTCTCAACAGCAGTATTCCTAATATAATCCCCAAATTTAAGCTCTTAATCTCTTGTTAATGATTTTTTAAAATTCGCCGAAATTAGTGGCTAAAACGCCTCGTTAAGTGCTTCTTTCTAGTGTAACGCGTCTGTAACTATCGTATCGTACACTCTGAGTCATCATTCGTTTCTTGCAATGATTTACACTAGTTTACACCAGTTTAAACCAGAAAATAGTACTTAACAAGGCGTTTTAGCCACTAATTTCGGCGAATTTTAAAAAATCATTAACAAAAGATTAAAAGCTTAAATTTAGGGATTATATTAAGAATAGTGCTGTTGAGGAATGCATTTATTTTCATTATGATATTTCAAAATTTAAAGCCCTTTGATTTTTTTTTCTCAGAAACTGGAGGGAATTAAAATTTTAAAATATATACATGTTCTAGATATTATTGCCTAATATATTTTGCCAAAATTTTAATTTTTTAAAAACATTACTTTTTGAGATATCCCTGTTTGAAAATTATAAGGGGGTGCTGTAATCACCTTAAGTACAAACAGTTTTAGACTGCTTCTGTAATTGCCCTCTATTGTTTTTTCTCCTTTTTTAATTATTTTTATGTTGATGTATCATTATTTAAATAAACGTTATTATTATTATTATTATTATATTATAGTATAAGGTTTGGTAGAAAAATTTCCGATATAACAAATCTATTAAATGATTGTAGCTTATATGAGTTACATATTACCTTACATGCAGTTTGTCAGCGTTCTACACCTAAAAGATTATCGTCCACATAACAATCCTGTTCTAACACTGCTGTTACAGTGAATGGCCCTCAAAAACGTGGTTCGAGCTTCTAACTTTGTCCATCATTTGAGCTTTTTGCTCCTTGGACAAGGACCTGTCTTTTTACGGAGAACGATTTTTCCTTGGCATGCCTCTTATTATAATTTTATTTTTGAGTCGACTGTTTCTCTCATATACGCTCTTCCACCTCGGTACGTATTATTGGAAAACTGCTTGACTACCTTCCGGCAACTTCTGATGTCAAAAAGGCAATATTAACAGGGGGTTAATGAAGCTGGTTTCGAAAAACACCTCGTATGGTGATTATCTAGACACTAAACTTACTCAATTTAAGGTCCCAACGTTGATCATTATTAAATCGTCGATTAGAGGTGAAAGGATAACTCTTTTCACGCACTTCACCTGCTCGTTGGCTTGTGGCCAAACCAAAACATGATACTCTTTTTATTCTTAGCTCGGAACAAAAAAAAGTAAAAGAATCGTACGTAAAAGCAGACCATCGATCACAGATAATCTTGCGTGGTACTCCAATAATTTCAGTAATTTCATTTACAAATTTGACTACTGGCGCTGTTTTCTTGTTTGATACAGTTTTAAGGCAGGTAAACTTAGTGAAAGCATTCAATAGCCACAGTATGGCAACGTGGCATGATGTAGAAAATTGGTGGCCTTAAATTGCTCCACAAAAACAGTAAAAAATAGTGCATTATTAGCTAGTGAAAATTAACAAGAGTGATATATAATTAAGTGCATATGATGATACGAACCTGTAAGTAAAAAAAGACCTATTAATAGTATTGATAAGAAGGATAAACAGCAAATAAAAAAACAAAACAAAGGAAGCAATATATTATTAACCTTTGAACCGTTGAGTTTTTACTTGGAATTAGGCAGAATTCTAATAAAAATATAAACACCGTTGCCAAATCAAATCAAATCAAATAAATTAATTGAAAATAATGGATAAAATTAAAAATAATATTATAATGGAATTAAAAAACGTTATTGCTGCCAGCGAAACAAGAATACTGTCAAAAATAGAAACAATCAACGAAAAAGCAATAAGGTTAGAAGAAGAAAATACTTAACTAAAAGGAAAAGTCGAGTACATGGAAAGGCAACTAAAGAAAAACAATTTAGTAGCTTTTGGCCTTGTTAAAAAACCTGAAGAAGTTGCAGTTGATAATATTTGCAACAAACTGAATGCGTTACTGGAATTAAACATTACAACCAACGATATCAGTGATCTTTATCTGATTGGAGGTACTCCAGGAAAAGAACCACTTAAAATAGAACTAACATCTAAATTTACAAAAGTCAATATTCTCCGAAATTGCATAAAATTAAAAGGCAAAAATATAACGATTGCTCACGATCTCACCAGAAGCCAGCAAGAGAAAAATAAAGTTCTAGTGAAGCATCTAAAGGAAATCAGATCCAAGGGTAGAGACAAGTGTTACATAAAAGGAGAAAAACTTTATATCAATAATAAACCTTATACAGCTGAAGAGATTATTAAAAAAGAAGAGGAAATTGGTGAATCAGGAGGTGTTTGGGACGAAGACGAAGAAGAGGGCGGACCAGAGAAGAAAAAGGAAGAAATAACACTAAGAACAAGAAAGCAATCTGCTTCTGATAGACAACAAAAAAAAGTAGTAACAATTAAAAAAAAGTAAAACAGAAAATATTTAGTATATTATATTATATTATTTTATTGAGTCTTAAGCCCTTTACTTATCAATCAACCTTTATTTAACTGTATTCATAAAAATTCTTGTTTTAGTGGTAGTTCTTTCTTTTCTTTTTTCTTTCTTTTTTCTTTTTTTTTCTTTTCTTTTAACATTTAAAATTCCACAAATTTTCTCTATTTTAAAGTTAATTTTCTTAGAAATGGATCCATACATACGCGATTTTGAAATAGAGAAAATTGAAAATTTTTTTTTGGAGGACGCAAATCAAGCACAACAAATATTAGAAATAAATCATACAAATCAAAACATAATTATACTTCACAACAACATAAGGAGCATATTTAAAAATTTTGATAAATTAAAAATTTTTCTCTGTGATTTGAGTATATCTGTAGATTGTATCATACTTACCGAAACAAGAATAATAGAAGATATCAACTCCTTTAATATACCAGGATATAAAACTCTGTACAACTATGGTCGGGTAAATCAATGCGATGGTGTGATTATACTCGCAACCAGCCCTCGTATCACTTATAATCGGTAGTCAGTCTATCTGCACTTGTGTCCACAATTTTTAAAGAACTTCTCGCTGTATCTCCCACTTCCCTGCCCCGGCGCAGGGTCCACCTAATCGGCATTGGTCTTTTTGTGCTTGAAGTGTTCACATCGTAGCGCAGAGTATACTCAGATAGCCGCCGTAAAAATCCTCGCTAACACGTAAGCATTACATTAAATTTATATTTTTCGTTTTAGCTTCTAGGTATTTACCTTTCAGGAAATAAAATGGGAAAAAAGCGTCGATCACGATCAAGTGATTCCGATGATGTGTCTAATAAAAAATTAATTAAACGTATTAAAAAGTTAGAACGTAAATTGAAAGAGAGGGACCGGTCGCGTGCCTCGAGCAGGCATGGCCGGCGTTCGCCTTTGCCGCGTAGCAGAAGCCGCTCTCTATCTAGATCTAGTCTCACCGCTTATACCGATGGCCGCAATCCGCGCGATTCGGAATCGGAAATTGTGAGAGACAACAGGGCCGGCCTCGCCCCGCGCGGGGAGGAGACCCTTTCAAATATATCTGGCAGCTGTTCTCCGAGAGAGACAGGGTCAATTGCAAATAAAGATGACTGTTTAACGCTTTATAATGATGAGGAATTACCAGATGATGTGTTGCAGATTCTTGGCTCAAACCCATCATCTACAAAAGATACACACAAGAAATAATTCCAATCCTATCTAAACAACACATAACAAGAGACAATTCTCACTTAGATTATCAAAGTCAAATTGGTATGGCCTTGAACTCGCTAGGTAAAGGTTTACAACCCCTTTTGACTGATTCTGATGGAATGCCGACCGATTCCAAAAGGAATCTCCTCATGAATGTATCAGAGGCTGGCCGAATTTTGACTAACTGTTTTCAAAAAATATCTAATGTGAGAAGATCTCTGATAAAGCCGCTTCTAAATAAAAATGTCAAGGACATGGTGGACAAAGCCCAACCTTCTCCTCACCTGTTATTTGGGGATAATCTGGCAGATGCAATCAAAATCGCAAAACAATTGGAATTGGCAGGTAAAGATTTAAAGGCTCCCATTAAATACAACAATTCAAATTATAAAGTTTTGCAAAATTTCTACCAGAAAAAGGGGGGGGAGCGCAACACACAACCTTCCTCGTCCCCAAATTTAAACCGGTATCGCCCGGCTCGTCGGTTCACAAAGGAGCAAAAGCGGGAGACGAGACCACATCAAGGGCGAAACCCGAAACAAACAAGGAGGAGATATTAAACCCGGTAAGTACTAAGTTATCAGGCAGGTTACAATATTTCTATGATAAGTGGTCAGAGTTAACCTCAAACAAAATTATTCTGAACTGGGTTAAAGGTTACAAGTTACCATTTTCTAAAACACCTTTTCAGAGACGCCCACTTATACCTAAATTTACTGAAAAAGAAAGGGCAGAAATGAAAGTATCTGTTAAAGATCTCCTACACAAGGGAGCTATAACCGAATGCCTAAATAGTACTAACAACCAACAGT